CCACCCACCCACCCACCCATCCATCCATCCATCCACCCATCCATCCATCCACCCACCCACCCATCCAGCCAGCCAGCCATCCATCAATCTACCCACCTCTCCACTTATCCATCCATCCATCCATCCATCCACTCATCCATCAATCTACCCACCCATCCATCTACCCACCCACCTACCCACCCATCCATCCATCCATCCATCCATCCATCCATCTGCCATCCTTCTTCCCTCCCATCCATCCTTCCAGCCTCCCGCTCGACCCTCATGGTATCCATCTTTCCAGTTAATGCTGTGGACATTATGGGCATCCTGACAGTTATAAATAGGAGGGGGAGGCTGCAGAGGCAGAGACCACATCAGGTGGCTTTCTGTATGTCCTGTCCCATGAGAAGCCTGATGTTTGTTAGCGCGAGATTGAGGATAATCTTCAGGTGCTTCTCTGTGGTCCTGGGTGGTGTGTCTGAGCGAATGTCCATGTTCCTGCTGTGAGCTTGTCCAGCTTCTCCTTGGCTTCCTTCCCCTGCCCACTACGCAGCAAGCGCTGGGGACAGGCAGCATGGTGCCATAGACCGGTGGAGTTTGAGGATGCCTTTCCGTGGTTCTAAGCTTACCTGACAGCAACAGTCCCTTGGGAGAGAGAAAGTAACTGGGGGCTTTAGTTGGAAGGCCCTTCTCAGGGACCTCTGCTGGGGAAGTCAAAGGAAGGACAGGTCCTTGTCAACAGCACAGAACAAGAAAACCTGAAGGCCAAATGGCCTCGTGGGATCCCGAAAGTGTGGGGAACAGAAGCCCCTGAGCTGTGTTTGTGGCTGCCTCCTGGTATCCTCTCGAACCTGCTCTGTGGAAGCGCAGCTTCCGCCCCCGCATGGCTATGACCTCTCTGTCCCTGTCTGTGTCTCTCTCAAACTCCATTTCCCTGATGAAGAACGTTGGTCACCAGCCAGTAGAGAGGCCTAGCAGGGCCCAGACCTTGTCCCGGGCTACTTCCAGCCTCTGGCCAGTCCCTAGAGGGCCTGTCAATGGGAGCACAGAGTGCTGAGCCCTGCAGGGACCATGCTGTGCCAGGTGCCTTGCCAGGCCTTTCTGGTAGAGAAGGGTGTGTGGGGCATTGCTGGTGCCCAGAGATGCCAGCCCCACTGGCTGTGCCTTTGACGTGGGTCTTCTCCATGTGTGCAAGATGGCACTTCTGTGACTCTGAGGGTAGCAGGGTGGTGCTGTGGTTGTGACATTGACATGCCAGCCATGACTGGCATGGGGAATCAAGTGGAGTGAGGGGTGGGACCGGGTAATGTGACGAGTGGGCTCGATGCCGGCTGGCGGCCGAGTCATGCTGGCTGTGAGCTGGACAGTGTTGTACAGCAGGGGCTGGGCGTGGCGAGGGCCGCTGCAGGTCATGTGGGCAAGATGAGAGCCAGAACCACCTGGCTTTGTCCCCAGCCGCCAAGCGCCCTGAGGAAGTGTGCGGACCCACACAGTTCCGATGTGTCTCCACCAACACGTGCATCCCAGCCAGCTTCCACTGTGACGAGGACAGCGACTGTCCCGACCGTAGCGACGAGTTTGGCTGCAGTGAGTAGGGAGCTGGGGTGGAGATGTGGGCCCTGGGCTGGGTTCTGGGGGCCTCTGTCCACAGCCTCAGCCTCCGCTCTTCTCCCGCCTAGCCCCTTGGAGCCCTCCCTCCACTCCTTCCTTTACCCTCTATCCCTCACCCCTGCCCTGGTCTCCTCAGTGCCTCCCCAGGTGGTGACACCTCCCCAGGAGTCCATCCAGGCTTCCCGGGGCCAGACAGTGACCTTCACCTGTGTGGCCATTGGAGTCCCCACCCCCATCATCAACTGGAGGCTCAACTGGGGCCACATCCCCTCTCATCCCAGGTGCGGCTCTGGGCCCAGGTGTTGGGATGGGAACGTGGGGTGGCTGGTCTAGGGCCCTAGGCCAGATCCCACCACTTGTCTTGGGGCCCACCAGGGTGACAGTGACCAGTGAGGGTGGCCGTGGCACACTGATCATCCGTGACGTGAAGGAGTCAGACCAGGGTGCCTATACCTGTGAGGCCATGAACGCCCGGGGCATGGTGTTTGGGATTCCTGACGGGGTCCTGGAGCTCGTCCCACAGCGAGGTACAGCCAGAGGGCAGGTGTTGCCGGGTGTGGGGGCGGAGCCGGCTGCCCCCCGTGACCGGCTGCAGCCCCCTCCCATGCCGCCCAGCAGGCCCCTGCCCCGACGGCCACTTCTACCTGGAGCACAGCGCCTCCTGCCTGCCCTGCTTCTGCTTTGGTCTCACCAGCGTGTGCCAGAGCAGCCGCCGCTTCCGGGACCAGATCAGGCTGCGCTTTGACCAACCCAATGACTTCAAGGGTGCGTTGGCGGGCGGGTGAGCGCTGTGGGAGGTGGGAGGTGGGTACCAGGCTCCAGTGGGCACAGAGGATAGATTCGGACAGACGGGGCCAGGTTTCAGGAAGGAGTATCAGTCACTGAAGAAACACTGAGCCCTGTCAAAAAAGCATTTCAGGGGAAAACCAACATTTTTAGGAAAAGCCCAATCCCCACTTGCTGCCTACCTGCTTCCGGTGACAGAGACGATGGGCTCTGGAGCCCTGTGTCGGATCCTGACATGGACGCTGACTACCTGTGTGTCCTGGGTCAAGTTATCCGCTATCTTGTGTCTGTTTCCTCATCTATAAAGTTGGGTGGGGGGAGTAATAACTACCTCCGAGGGCTTTGTAAGGACTTCCTGGATTCATGGCTGTAAGCCTCTCAGCATTGTGCTCGGCCTGTGGTCAGCTCCCAGGAAGTACTTGCCAATGTCACGGTCACTGTCCTTGTTCTGAGAGACAGAGGTGCCAGTGTGCCCGGAGCATAAGAGCCTAGGCTTTGGTGTCTGCTTAGCCTGAGGCTGGCCTCCAGCCCCACCACGTACTGCCGCTGTGTCTTTGGGCAAGTCTCTTGGTTTCTCTGGGCCTGTTTTCCCAAAGATAGAGGCAGGTGGCTGGACTTAGTTCTTTCCGGCTCTGAGAGGCAGAATGACAGGATGGCTGAGAGCATGAGCCCAGACACCTCCTAGACTTGGGCTCAGGTCTCAGCTATGTCTTTCCCACCTGGCCCGAAGCAGCCCTCACCCTGCTGAGTTTCAGAGGATTAAACGCATGTAGAGAGTTAGCTCCAAAGCATTCACCACACGTTATGCCCTTTCGTTGGTTCAGGAACCTAAAAATTACTTGTATAAAACTTAGTGGCCAGGCGCAGTGACTCATGCCTGTAATCCCAGCACTTTGGGAGGCTGAGGCGGGCAGATCACCTGAGGTCAGGAGTTCGAGACCAGCCTGACCAACATGGAGTTGGTACAAAATTACTAAAAGTACAAAATTAGCCAGGTATGGTGGTGCATGCTTGTAATCCCGGCCACTTGGGAGGCTGAGGCAGAAGATGCTTGAACCTGGGAGGCAGATGTTGTGGTGAGCCGAGATCACACCATTGCACTCCAGCTTGGGCAACAGCAGCGAAACTCCGTCTCAAAAAAAAAAAAAAAAATTTAGTTACCGAGCCAGGCATGGTGGCTTATGCCTGTAATCCCAGTACTTTGGGAGACAGGGGAAGGAGGATTCCTGTAGCCATGAGTTCAAGACCAGCCTGGGTAACATAGTGAGACCCCATCTCTACAAAAAATTAAAAATAAAAAATTAGCCAGGCATGGTGGTGTGTGCCTGTAGTTCCAGCTGCTTGAGGGGCTCAGGCAGAAGGATCTCTTGAGTCTGGGAGGTTGAGGCTGCAGTGAGCTGTGATCACACCATTGCACTCCATCCTGGACAACAGAATGAGACCGCATCTCTAAAAACAAAACAAAACTTAGTTACCTCCCAAAGTTGTCCCCCATTATATTTAAAATGCTAATGGCCATAGCCACGATTTGGTGAGCAGGCAGTTGGCCCTGTGGCGTGACATGACAGTCCCTGAACTGCCAATAACCCTTGCAAGGTCAGAGCTGATTTCAGTTTTAAGATGAGAGCCCCAAGGCTCTGAGAGGTTGTGGGGCTTCCCTGGGTTCATACAGCCGTTTCGAGGGAGACATGAACCCAGGGCTGTCTGACGGGAATCTGGATGGTCCAGGGAGGGAGTGCTGGGAATTCCAGGTGGCCTGTGTGTGCATGGTGATCAGCAGGGAGGGGGCCTGAAGACGTCCCCGGAAGGCAGGGAGGAAAGAGGATGGAGTAGTCTAGCCTCGGGCCTGTGCTCCGTCATTCTGCAGATGAGGAGCTGGACTCCCCCGTTGCAGGGGATGAATTCAGGGTGAAGGGAAGAAGCTATTGGACTCCGTGTAAGGAAGAACTTGCTAAGAGTCAAAATTGTCCAGAGCTGGGAGGGATGGCCTTTGGAGGTCAGACGCTCCCAACCACGACAGCTGCATCATCCAATGTGGCAGTCACTGGCCATGCATGCGTGGCTTTTTAAATTGAAATACAGCGATTCATTCCTGAGCAGCACTAGACATGTCTCCAGTGCTCGGTGGCCACATGTGCCTACACCCGTTACTTTTAATAGCAAAAACACAAGTTACTTTTGCACCAGCCTACTAGCTACCATAGTGAAGAGTGTAGGTACAGGATATTTTCACTCCACCGAAGTCTTCTAGCATGGAGCTGTCCCAGAGCTCTGGGAGGGCGCCATCAAGGGAATTCCCGTGTGGGGTGAGTGTGTGCGTGTGTGTTCATAGGAGAGGGTTAGACTGGATGAGCCGTCATAACAGCAGCAGCAATAAGAGCTAGCCATTTTATGTCAATTTGCGCACTTTGTCACTCTCGGAGGGAGGCTACTGTAAGCACCATCTTACAGCTAGGGAAACTGAGGTCCCTGCCCAGGCCTACCACACACCTGGACTTGGGCTCCTGTTCTTCAGCTCTCCTGCCCACAGAGGTGTTCCAACCCTGAAAGCCTGTGGGTCTCTTAGCAAGAAAGCCCTGAGAGGTCCTGCTGCAAAGAATCCCCTTGACCTTTCTTTGACCCTGTGGTTCCCAGATGGTTCCCAGCTCTCATTCCATGGCATTGACGTTCATTCCCAGAGCATGCTTTGGGAAATGCTGCTCCAATATTTGGGAAGGAGGGGAAAAAAAGTTGCATTTTCTTTTTCTTTTTTTTTTTGAGTTAGAAAGAGTCTCACTGTGTCACCTAGGCTGGAGTGCAGTGGCGTGATCTCAGCTCACTGCAGCCTCTGCCTCCAGGGTTCAAGTGATTCTGCTGTCTCAGCCTCCTGAGTAACTGGGACTCCAGGTGTGCACTGCCACGCCCAGCTAATATTTGTATTTTTAGTAGAGACAGGGTTTCACTATGTTGGCCAGGCTGGTCTTGAACTCTCAGCCTCAAGTGATCCGCCCCCCTCAGCCTCCGAAAGTACTGGCATTATAGGCGCGAGCTACCATGCATGGCCAAAAGCTGCATTTTCGTAACTTTGGAAGAGAGATCAAAGTTTTCTGAAAATCAGATTTCCCTAGAACTTTCCCGTCTTTCTGGGTTGCTGGCCCTCAAGATGGGTGTATCAGGCAGGCCCAGGCTGCAGCCCTCAGCCTCCTCCTTGCCCCCCACAGGCGTGAATGTGACGATGCCTGCGCAGCCCGGCACGCCACCCCTCTCCTCCACGCAGCTGCAGATCGACCCAGCCTTGCACGAGTTCCAGCTAGTCGACCTGTCCCGCCGCTTCCTCGTCCACGACTCCTTCTGGGCTCTGCCTGAGCAGTTTCTGGGCAACAAGGTGAGGGGCCTGGGCTGCCACTTGGGCTCCGCTCCCTCTGCAGCTGGTGGACAGCAAGACAGACTTGGGGGGAACGGTGTTGCCATGCCCCGATGCAGCCTCCTATGGCAGTGGCTCATCCATTCAGGGCAGGACCTCTCCCCAGCACTATTGGCTTGGGAAGAAGAACTGGCCTCCCCTCCTCCTCCTGGGAGTCCTCCCTGACCACTCCCCATGCCTGTGCTGGGTTCTGTGCAACCACACTGGCCTCCCTGGGCACTCTGTGCACAGCATGATTCTATACCCTGCCATGAACCAAATACCCTAGAGTAAGGGCCTGAGTCTTACCTGTCTCGGTTTCCCTGTGCCCAGCTCAGTGCCTGGCATGCAGTGAGTCTCAGGTAGGCAGAGTGAGGGAGGAGCTGGAAGACTGTAGGCACCTCATAGGCACGGTGGGTGTCAAGTGAGCCCACAGCTACCTGCCCTGATCCACCCTGTCGCCAGGTGGACTCCTATGGTGGTTCCCTACGTTACAACGTGCGCTACGAGCTGGCCCGGGGCATGCTGGAGCCAGTGCAGCGGCCGGACGTGGTCCTCGTGGGCGCCGGATACCGCCTCCTCTCCCGAGGCCACACACCCACCCAACCCGGTGCTCTGAACCAGCGCCAGGTCCAGTTCTCTGAGGTGGGTGGCACCCAAGCTCTTAGGCTGGGAGTCAAGGGCGATTTCAGCTGGGTAGGCGCTGATGTGTGACCCCTGCCACCTTCACCCATACTCAGGAGCATTGGGTCCATGAGTCTGGCCGGCCGGTGCAGCGCGCGGAGCTGCTGCAGGTGCTGCAGAGCCTGGAGGCTGTACTCATCCAGACCGTGTACAACACCAAGATGGCCAGCGTGGGGCTGAGCGACATCTCCATGGATACCACCGTCACCTACGCCACCAGCCATGGCCGTGCCCACAGTGTGGAGGAGTGCAGGTGCCTGAGCCGGCTGGACTGGGAACCACAGAGACCCTGACAAGGATAGAGGAGAAGCGGCAGAGCCTCACAGTGCTTGCAGCGACTCTCTCGGTCCTGTCCCCACAGATGCCCCATTGGCTATTCTGGCTTGTCCTGTGAAAGCTGTGATGCCCACTTCACTCGGGTACCTGGTGGGCCCTACCTGGGCACCTGCTCTGGCTGCAATTGCAATGGCCATGCCAGCTCCTGTGACCCTGTGTACGGCCACTGCCTGGTGAGTAGTGCCAGCTGGCTCTTGGACACTAAAATAGGAGCAGGAGCAAGGTGTGAGACTGCCTGTGCTCATGAGCTCAGCACAAGCCTCCACAGTGACTCATGGCTGGCAGATGAGCTATCATGGCCTCTGGATGCAATAACAGAGATATAGGCTGGGCGAGGTGGCTCACACCTATAATCTCAGCACTTTAGGGGGCCAAGACAGGTGGATCACTTGAGGTCAGGAGTTCGAGACCAGCCTGGCCAACATGGTGAAACCCCGTCTGTACTAAAAATACAAAAATTAGGCAGACATGGTGGTACCTGCCTGTAATCCCAGCTACTCAGGAGGCTGAGGCAGGAGAGTCATTTGAACACGGGAGGTGGAGGTTGCGGTGAGCCGAGATCACACCACCGCACTCCAGCCTGGGCAACAGAGCAAGACTCTGTCCCCCCACCCCCCAAAAAAAACCCAGAGATACAGCGTCCGGTGATGGCCCTCCCCTCCTCCACCTTCATAGACTAATCCTGGAGAGTACCAGATGAAGAAGCATGGTCCTTCAGAGGGCAGCCGTAAGCGGGAGAGGCCCTTTGGGTCGTATTTATTTCTTAGGAATAGTGGTCAGAGCTGGGATTGTGGAGCTGACAGAAGGGAAGGCCCAAGGAGGGCAGCACTGTCATCCAAATCGCTGCAAAGGCGTCAGGTAGAAGAGACGGACTCTGGACAGCAGAACTGGCCAGTGGGTGCTGATTGGAAGAGGGTGGCAGGTTTAGGTCATTAAAAAACAGGCATTTGGAACCATCTATGGGATAGGCTGCCACGTAAGGCGACGAGCTCCCCGTCATCTGTAAGTGGTTGCCGCTGATGCTCCCCTGTCTGCAAAGCTGTGCCTCCAGCATGTTGGGGAGACTGAGCCAGGCAGCCTCACAGGCCCCCCTCAGCATCTGGCCCAGTTCTGCTCTCGAAGTTGAGCCACGCCCTCCTCCTCCTAGAATTGCCAGCACAACACGGAGGGACCGCAATGCAACAAGTGCAAGTCTGGCTTCTTTGGGGATGCCACAAAGGCCACGGCCACCGCCTGCCGGCCCTGCCCTTGCCCATACATCGATGCTTCCCGCAGGTCAGCCCCCGCTCAGGGTGGGGGGGTTTGGCCGGGGGCAGTGCAACAGGCCAGGAGAATACTCTGGGCAGGGAGGCAGGAGGCTCGGATTCAGATCTCAGCCTGGTCACTAAGTTATCCCATGCTCCTTGACCTCTCTGGGCCTCAGTTTCCTTTTCCGCATAATGGGCCACCTGCCTTCCCACAGTTGCTGTGAGGCTGCCGGGCAGGGAGATGGCGTCATGCCTCATGGCACACAGTGTCTGTGTGGACGGCAGTTGTTTCCCAGGGTGGGAGTAGAAAGCCTGACCCCAGCCCTGCCCCGTGCCCTGTCCACATGATATCCACAGATTCTCAGACACTTGCTTCCTGGACACGGATGGCCAAGCCACATGTGACGCCTGTGCCCCAGGCTACACCGGCCGCCGCTGCGAGAGGTGAGGGAGAGCCTCGGGGGCTGCAGGAAGGGGTTTCCTGGGCAGGGTCATGGAAGTGCCACTGATGGCAGTGCCCTCTCTCCCCTAGCTGTGCCCCCGGATACGAGGGGAACCCCATCCAGCCTGATGGGAAGTGCAGGCCCATCAGTGAGTATGGCTGCCACCATCCCATGACACCCACACCCCAACCCCACCTGGGCTGCACACCAGGCACCCTCCCTCCCCGCCCCAGCTCGTGATCCTTGGGGGGCCACTCTTCCTCTCTCTGCCTAGACCATGTCTATCCCATTCCCACCTGCCTGCCAACACCTGCCTTGTGTTCCAGACCAGGCGATTGTGCGCTGTGATGAGCGTGGCAGCATGGGGACCTCTGGGGAGGCCTGCCGCTGTAAGGTACACATGCCATTGCCACCCACCCAGGGGTCTTGGGCCCAGCACCACAGCTGGGAGAAGGAGTAAGGAAGCTCTGTCCTCTCCATAGCCCCTTGGCCAGTGGGCGGTAACCTAGTCAGAGCTGGTGGGCCTGGCTGACTGGTCTTCCGCACCAGGAGAGGTGGCCTGGCGTTGGCAAGTTGCTCTGGTTAGGGAGTGGGGCCACCTAGTTCAAGTCCCAGTCATGCTTTGTGCAGCCTTTGTATCTGCATTGTACCTTTGTATTCGCCATACTTTGTCCACTGTCACATTGATACAATGATGTAGATATTAGTGTCCCCAATTTGTGATGTGAAAAAATGGAGGCTCAGAAAAGGGAGGTCACTTGCGTTAGGATGGGAGCATCGGCCGGGTGAGTTTCTCATGCCTGTAATCCCAACACTGTGGAGGCCAAGGCGGGCAGATCACTTGAGGTCAGGAGTTCAAGATCAGCCTGGCTAACATAGTGAAACGCCGTCTTTACTAAAAATACAAAAATTAGCCAGGTGTGGTGGCAGGTGCCTGTAATCACAGCTACCTGGGAGGCTGAGGCAGGAGAATCGCTTGAGTCTGGGAAGCAGAGATTGCAGTGAGCTGAGACTGCACCACTGCACTCCAGTGTGAGCAACAAGAACAAAACTCCATCTCAAAAAAAAAAAAAAAAAGAATGTGAGTATGTGAAAAATAATGGATTGATTCTGAAGTCAAGCACTCCTGATCTTAAATCCCAGAGTGGATGAGCAAGCTGAGTAACTTTGTGCAAGTCATTTCACATCCCTGAACCTCTGTTTCCTCATGTGAAGGCTGGAGATATCACCTACCTCTCAAGGTCCTTAGGGGGCTTAAATGAGGTGATGTTGAATGGAAACCAGAACAGTGCATGAAATGCTCCATAAATAGTGGCAGCGATTATTTTAATTAAGTTGCTGTATTTTAAATCTAAATTTATTGGTGAGGCCCCTGGTAGCCAAAGAGAAAAGGGAAAAATGCTTGCCTAAGCTCTTAAGTGGGAATTATTGTTCAGATGATGACACCTTATACATGTGCTCTTCCTTTGTTTGTTTGTTTGTTTTGAGATGGAGTCTCCCTCCTATCACGCGGGCTGGAGTGCAGTGATATGATCTCGGCTCACTGCAACCTCCACCTCCCGGGTTCAAGCGATTCTCCTTCCTCAGCCTCCCAAGTAGCTGGGATTACAGGCGTGTGCCACCGTGCCCGGCCACATGTGCCCTTTCAGTGGCTCCTCTGGGTCTTGGGTACCTGTGTAGACTGTGGGTGGATTCGGCCTGAAGCTCCAGGCGGCCCCTCCCACGGGCTGTCCTTCAGCTCCAACTCTGTACCTGCAGAACAACGTGGTGGGGCGCTTGTGCAATGAATGTGCCAACGGCTCTTTCCACCTGAGCACCCAAAACCCCGACGGCTGCCTCAAGTGCTTCTGCATGGGTGTCAGTCGCCAGTGCACCAGCTCTTCCTGGAGCCGCGCCCAGGTACCTCTGCAAGGTGGGCGGGCAGGACCGCCCAGCCCCAGGCTGGATGCACCAAGTGCCAGTCCCAGTCCCAGGCCCCGGCCCCCATCCCAGCCCTTTCTCCTCCTCCCAGGTGCACGGGGTCTCCGAGAAGCCTGCCCACTTCGCCGTGACCAACGCCGAAAGCACCCACTCCACCAATGATGGCATCTTCTCCCCCACGCCCGGGGAACTGGGCTTCTCCTCCTTCCACAGACTCCTATCTGGACCCTACTTCTGGAGCCTCCCTGCAAGCTTCCTTGGAGACAAGGTGGGTAGGGGTTGGAAGGGAAAGGAAACTCCAGGCAGCGAGAACAGCACGGGCAAAGGCTTGGAGGCAGGAGGGTCATGGTGCCTTGGGAGAATAGTGAGATACACGGCATGGAAAAGGTGGCTGGAGCAGTGACAGGGCCCGACTCGGGGACCCTGCTAAGCTCCTGTCTACCCCCGGTCCCAGGTGACCTCCTACGGAGGAGAGCTGCGCTTCACAGTGACCCAGCGGCCCCAGCCAGGCTCCGCACCCCTGCGCGGGCAGCCATTGGTGGTGCTGCAAGGTAACAATATCGTCCTAGAGCACCACGGGGCCCAGGAGCCCGGCCCCGGCCAGCCCAGCACCTTCACTGTGCCCTTCCGGGAGGTGAGCAGCACTGCCCCCTGGGGGTAGGGGTGCGGGCTGGCCCTTGCTTCTGTCTCTCCTGCATAAATACTCCAGGACGTCAGGCACTGAGCACAGCTGTCCTTTTCTTGGCAGGAAGCCTGGCAGCGGCCCGATGGGCAGCCAGCCACACGGGAGCACCTGCTGATGGCGCTGGCAGGCATCGACACCCTCCTGATCCGAGCATCCTACGCCCAGCAGCCCGCTGAGAGCAGGTGTCTGGAGCCAGGGCAGGAGGATCAGTGTGGGTTTGGGGAGGGGGCTCTGTCTAAGCGGTGCAGTGTGGCACAGCCGCATACAGACTATGCAACCCTTTTGAGCCTCAATTTCGCCATCTGTAAAATGGAGAGTCTAACAATGCCTCCCTTACAGGCTGAAGGAAGCCTGAGGCAGGGATTGGGGTGCACAAGATTGACAAGGGGAGAGACGCAGGAGGGGAAGGGCCCACAAAGGGATGTGGTCACAGGTCAAGTCTAGCCTCAGCCTCAGCCCACGGGAGCTCTGGAGAGTCACTCGCCGTAGAGTGGTCTGTCTTTCAGGCACAGGGGCTCTTGTAGCCGGTATCATCCTGTCGTTGACTACCCCAGGGGAACAGGGTGGTGTAACCTCTCCAGGCGAGGATGGGTGGTAGTTTAGAGTCAGTTGCAGGTAGCGCTGTCCGCCCTCGCAGCCTCTGGAGACCTGGACAGTGCTGTGGGAGGACTAACCAGGCCCCCAGTGGAGGCTCCAGGCGTGCCTGGCACAATGCTCCTGTTCACACTGGATCTTGTCATGCCCAGGGTCTCTGGCATCAGCATGGACGTGGCTGTGCCTGAGGAAACCGGCCAGGACCCCGCGCTGGAGGTAGAGCACTGCTCCTGCCCGCCCGGGTACCGTGGCCCGTCTTGCCAGGTAAGTCCTGGGCCCCACCCCGGCCTAGCCAGCTCCATCCATGGTGCTCCCTGCCCCTCCTCCATAAGCCCACCCCACCTCCCCAGCCCTGGCCATTCAGTGCCCTACCCGAGTGGGCCGTGTCCAGGAAGGCCCCCCTACTGCCAGCTTTCTGCCCCCAGGACTGTGACACAGGCTACACACGCATGCCCAGCGGCCTCTACCTGGGTACCTGCGAACGCTGCAGCTGCCATGGCCACTCAGAGGCCTGCGAGCCTGAGACAGGTGCCTGCCAGGTGAGTCCCACCCTCCTTCCTCCCACCCCAGTGATCTGTGGCCTCTGGGGGCCCAACCCCCACTCACCTTCTGCTCCACCAGGGCTGCCAGCATCACACGGAGGGCCCTCGGTGTGAACAGTGCCAGCCAGGATACTACGGGGATGCCCAGCAGGGGACATCACAGGACTGCCAGCTGTGCCCCTGCTACGGAGACCCTGCTGCCGGCCAGTGCGTCCGGCCCCTGCCTGCACCTGCCCTGCCCTGAAACGTCCACTACCCCCCACGTGCCCTTCCTCCGGCCCTTCTGAGAGGCAGTGTTTAATCCTGGCCTCGCCACCATCTCAGTGTGTCGCTTGGTGTGAGATACACTTCACTTTCAGGGCTATGCTGCCTCCTCTGTGAAATAGGGTAGTCCACGCTCCTCAGCCCCTGTGCGAGAGTTGAATGAGCTGATGCTCGTGGAACTCTTTTAGCATAGTGCCAGGCACGCAGTGGCACTCAGGACACATTAGTTCACCTGCCCATTCTTCCCCTCCCCTCCCCTGGTCCTGAAGGAGGATCAAGGAGAAGAAGGAGCCACTGCGTACCTGACTAGAAATCTGCCCCCCACACTCAGGGCTGCCCACACGTGCTTTCTGGACACAGACGGCCACCCGACCTGTGACGCGTGCTCCCCAGGCCACAGTGGGCGTCACTGCGAGAGGTGAGGCGGGGGACAGGGGGGACACGCACAGCAGGGCCCAGCCCTCCTGACCCGGAGGAATCAGGGATGCCTGATTCCTCCCAGTCTTAACCCCCAGAAGATGGTCAGCTCCCCTCCTTGGGAGCCTCAACCTCTAGCCCAGAATTCAGGACCCTCAGACATGCATCCTGGCCTGCGGTTCACCTCCAGCCCCCTGGCCCCTGCCCCAGCCAGGCCAGAGTCTTCCCACAAAACCCCTGCTTCTTTCCAAAGCTCCTGGGCTCCTGACTGCCCGGATTTACTGCTGTGCGGTCCAGGGCGGGTCCTTGCTCTTCTCAGCCCGTCACATGGGCGAGTCAGGCTGTTGGTTTCTTCCAGGGCACGAGGCCATTGAATTTAATATGGGGTCCCCAGCCCAGCCCCGGGGTTCTGCTTCTCTTCACCCAAAATTCATCAGAGGCTTTCTCTCTCTGCAGGTGTGCTCCTGGCTACCATGGCAACCCCAGCCAGGGCCAGCCATGCCGGAGTGAGTAGGACTGGGGAGGTCGTTGGGGTCGGGTTACTCAGTGTCCTAGCACAGAGCTGGGACAGAAGGCTTTACTCCCTTTTGGCTTTGCCTCTCTGAGCCTGAGTTTCTTCATCTGTAAAATGGGGATAGGAACAGGCCCCACTGCCTCCGAGGGCTGTTGTGAGAGCGTGATGTGCCCATGTCAGAAGTCAGAGCTCCCGCTCGGTGCCAAGCAGAGTGGAGGGAAGAGGGGTGCTGGGTGGAGGGCTTGGGGCTCCAGCCATGACTTTCTTCCACCTCAGGAGATGACCTGGTGCCAGGGCCCATAGGCTGCCACTGTGACCCCCAAGGCAGCGTCAGCAGCCAGTGTGATGCTGCTGGTCAGTGCCAGTGTAAGGTCAGTCCGAATCCCTGCCCCTGAGGGCCTGCGCTGCCCTGCTGCCTGGGGCCTGTGGGGAAATCAGGCACCATCTGATGGAAGCTGAGACCTGGGCATGGGGGGCAGGGCAGGGGCTGCCCGGGGCTGCTGGGGGTACAGGATACCCACCGAGTCCCCTGCCTGCCTCCTTCCATCCATCCACCCAGGCCCAGGTGGAAGGCCTCACCTGCAGCCACTGCCGGCCCCACCACTTCCACCTGAGCGCCAGCAACCCTGACGGCTGCCTGCCCTGCTTCTGTATGGGCATCACCCAGCAGTGTGCCAGCTCCGCCTACACGCGCCACCTGGTGAGAGCCTGTGCTGCCCAGCCCCAGGCGGGGCCGCCGCCTGCTGCCTGCTATTGTCCATCTCATCACTGAGCCCGGTGACCCTCACCCCTGCCCCAGTACCCTCATATGCCCCGATTATTTCTCTCCCAGCCCTGATCTCAGCAGACCGCCTTCCCCCACCTTAACACCCTCCCATGTCCCATCCCTCACCAAGGTGCCTGCCTCAGTGCCCAGGCTGATACCACCTCCTCCTTCCCCTGCCAGATCTCTACCCACTTTGCCCCTGGGGACTTCCAGGGCTTTGCCCTGGTGAACCCGCAGCGGAACAGCCGCCTGACAGGAGAATTCACTGTGGAACCTGTGCCCGAGGGTGCCCAGCTCTCTTTCAGCAACTTCGCCCACCTCGGCCACGAGTCCTTTTACTGGCAGCTGCCGGAGACATACCAGGGAGACAAGGTGGGCCCCCAGCCCGGCACCAGGGTCAGCCGTGACTCAGACCCAAGTTCCCCTCTAAGCCATCTCTCTCAGCAGACACACACCTGCCACGTGCCTGGCCACATCGTGGTTAGGCATGTGGCCTTTGCAGTCCCATAGACATCAGTCTAAACCCCAGCTCTGCTGCTTGCCAGCCAGATACCATTTGATAAACCTCAACGTCATGGTGGCTGGGAGGACTGGAGATCATGCCTGGCACATAATAAGTGCTCAACTATTCATGACTTTTAGCTTTCATGCAGTTATTCAACAAACAGGTCCTGGGAGAGACCAAGAAATATAAAGACAAGTGAGACACGGTTTCAGTGTCATTCACACCTCCCACTCCACTCATCCACGCTGCTGGCTCTGCTTGTGTCGGCCACAGTAACTCTCAGCCTGGGTCATGCCTGTTGAGCTCTCACCATGTGCTAGGCAGCATCCTTTGTAAGTCTCAAGTCACAACTGCATGAGCCAGGTCCTACTGCTGCCCCTTTTCACGAATAAGGAATCTAAGGGAAGAGGGGCTCTGTAATTTACCCAGAGTCCCAAGCTGGGAGGTGGGAATGCGGGGGATCCAAACCCAGTTCAGAGGCTGCCCCTAAAATGCTCTGCGGAAGGCCAGAGCTCACGCCTGTAATCCCAGCACTTTGGAAGGCTGAGGTGGGAGGATCACTTGAGCTCAGGAGCTCAAGACCAGCCTGGGCAACGTGATGAAACTCCATCTCTACAAAAAATACAAAAAATTAGCTGGCCGTGTTGGTGCATGCCTGTAGTCCCAGCTACTTAGGGAGGTTGAGGTGGGAGGATCACTGGTGCCTGGGAGGGGGAGGCTACAGTGAGCCACAATTGCACCACTGCACTCCAGCTTGGGTGACAGAGTAAGACACTGTCTCCAAAAATATATATATATACTCTGCCAGTCAGAGGTGAATCTGTCTTTGCTACTCCAGAACGTGGTCTGGTGGGAGGTGATGATGGTGATGGCGACGGTGTTGAGGGTGGGCTCTGGGACGGGCTCTGGGACAGCCTGCCCAAATGTGTTCCTTGAGCAGCACAGGCATCGGTGGTACCCAGGGAAAGTGGGTCTTGGCACAGGAGGCCACTGCTGGCTGAGGCCAGTGTTCCAGCTGATATGCCCCCAGGCAGGAGGCGAGGGGACCAGGGACACCTAGGAGGGGTGCTCTGGGGTTGCCCCATCCTCGCTTCTTGGACAGAGCCAGGTACTCCAGGCTTCTCTGGGGGCTGGCTGCCTTCAGTCCCTTCTCCCCTCGCCCCTCTGGGGCTCACTACCTCCTGGCCTTCCTGCTGCCCTGTCCTGCAATTCTCAGACCTTTCTCTGTCTCCTGTCCTGGCACTTCCCTGCACCCCATAGCAGGAGGCATACTTTGCTCGGATGCGCCGGGCTCACCAGGTAGGCACAGGATGTGTGTGGTGTGAAGCTGGCGTGATGCAGTGTGGCGCCTCCTCGGGTGCTCCCAGCCCTGGGTGGGGAGATGTGCAGTGCCCAATGTATCAGGAGTCTGCATAAATCCAGGCAGTGTCCCATGGCCCCAGGGTTGGAGCCAGGAGGGTGTGTGCCCCACCTTGCCTCACCTGCTGTGTGGTCTGGTTCTAGTGCCAACTGTCTGAAGTCAGAATGGCAACCGAGGTAGCAGGGAGACTAACCTCATGCTGATCCACAGGACTGTATCTAGCCCACCAGGTTCCCCTGGCCCTGCCTCCCAAGCAACCACCATTAACCCCTGCCTGCACGTGGGTGGCCTGAGGTTAACCCCTGGGTGCCAGCCTGGAAAGGGGAGCATGCATCTTTCTTCCCAATTAGTGTGGGCCTTTCTGACTACCACGTCCATGGGTAGAGGACCTGCCCGTGGCTCCGGCTCTGGGACCCTGGGAGGTCTGAGCTGGCCTCCTCCTTCCATCCCATCAGAACCGCACGTCCCTCTCAGAGGAGCAGTTGCGGGCAGCCATGACAGCTGGGAGGATCCTGGGGCCCCCAGAGGGCAGGGACTGGGCACAGCGGGCATCACAGGTAACTGAGGGCCTGGCTGGGACGGGTCATACCTGGGGCCCCAGGGAAGAGGCCAGAGAGCTGAGTGCAGGCAGGCACCTGAACGAAGGCCCCGGCCCTCCTGGCCCGTTTCCCCTGTGCCAGGCCAGGCCCCAACCTGATGCCTGGTCTGTTCCGGTATCATCCTTAGGAAACATACCAGAGCCATGAATGGCTTGGGTTGGTACCAGGGCACACACAGAGAGTCAGGGCGAGGAGCAGCAGCCCTACCACAGATGCCCTGGGCTGCCTCCAGCACTTCTGCCCCTCCCTTGCTGGGTACCCTCTGTAGGGCTTGTCCCATCAGTCTTAGCCCACAGGCAGCTAAGCCCATCCCAGGATATCCCTGCCTGGCTCAGGAGGAACAAGAGGGCAATGGGTACAAGGGCCGAAGCGCCAGGTATCAGCGCTTGTGAGCTGACAATGCAGAGCGGGTGACTAGCTGGGCCCGGGGGGAGGTGAAACCTCATGGGCGTCCTTTCTGTCCCTCTCTGCTCCCTTCCACTGCCCTTCGGCTCCTGGTCCCCAGGTGGACGAGGCTCAGAGACGAATGGATGCTGAGATCTGGCAGCTCCTGTCCAGCTTTGCTGCCCATCCCCAACCCCCTCCCCGGGGGCTCTCCCCTCATCCTCAGCCTGCAGCTGCTCTGCGAGCGCTACCCGCTTCCTCCTCCTCCTCCTCTTCTCTGTCTTTCCCACTAGGCTCTCAGGTATGTGCCAAGGTGCCCATCAAGGGATCCCCACCCATCATATTTTCTAGATTTCACTCATTTCTGAACCAACTTCACAATTTCTGTAAACTACTTGGACTATTATTTCTTTCCAATTTTCCTTTCAATCAATCATATACCAACCCAGTTATGCTGGTTACTCTCTTTAAATACATATGAAAAGGCCCACCCCATTGAAATTGTTGACTAATGTGCTGTGTAAACGCTGGGGTCCACAAAAGACCCACCAGATGGGAGGAGAAGCGGACCCAGGCCACACCCAGAGAGAGCAGCTGGCGGCCTGGGCCAGGATTGGGAAGAAAGTTGTCCAAAGAGCGGGGCCGGGACCTGCACTGTCGGGTGGGGGTGGGTGTCTGCCTCTCTGCCCTGCCACCGGGCCTCCCTCCTGTGACAGTCCACCCCTGCCAAGACTGTCTCTGCCCTCCCACCCGCGCCTGCTTCCCACGGCTCTCACCACCTGTCCTTCCGTCCTAGTTCTCTCTCTCCTACGAAGGCTTCTCTCTGCTCCCTGGAAGCCTCTATTACTGGCAGCTGCCGCAGGTCTTCCTGGGGGACAAGGTAACAAGGATTTGGGGGGATTCTAGGTGTGTCAGAGAATCCTACAATATCAGAGGGCCCTTTGTCAAGGCCCTTTATGACACAATGGGGAGACCGAGGCCCACGGTCGGTAGGGACTTGCCTGGGGTCCCACGTTCAGGTCAAAGCACAGCTGAGACTGAACTCAGCTCTGCCCACATCCTTCAGCAGGGCCTTTTTCTGGGCTCCCTTGACCTTGTGTCTAGACATTGGCCTAGTTTTTGGACTGCATTCAGTCATTTAAGAAGCACTAATTAAGTACTTACTGTATGCTGCATCGCATACAGACAGAGCAGGCAGAGTGAGCCCTGGCCTCCCAGAGCTCCGCGTCCATCCGATGATCATTCCTGGCAACCTTGGTATCACTGTTACCATCACCATGAGCGCTGGCGTTGGCCTCAGATGAGTATTGATACTGCCTTCGTTTTGCTCCAACAATTTTTTTTTTTTTTTTTAAAGATGTGGTTTCGGCCGGGCGCGGTGGCTCACGCCTGTAATCCCAGCACTTTGGGAGGCCGAGGTGGGTGGATCACGAGGTCAAGAGATCGAGACCATCCTGGTCAACATGGTGAAACCCCATCTCTACTAAAAATACAAAAAATCAGCGGGGCATGGTGGCGCGTGCCTGTAGTCCCAGCTACTCAGGAGGCTGAGGCAGGAGAATTGCCTGAACCCAGGAGGCGGAGGTTGCAGTGAGCCGAGATTGTGCCATTGCACTCCAGCCTGGGTAACAAGAGTAAAACTCCGTCTCAAAAAAAAAAAAAAAAAATGTGGTTTCACCAAGATGGCCAGGCTGGTCTTGAACTTCTGACCTCAGGTGATCCACCCACCTTGGCCTCCCAAAGTGCTGAGATAATAGGGGTGAGCCACTGCGCCTGGCCTGCTCCAACAATTTCAAGTACCTCTTAAGAATACACATAACAGGCTGGGCACAGTGGCTCACGCCTATAATCTCAGCACTTTGGGAGGCCGAGGTGGGTGGATCACATGAAGTCAGAAGTTCAAGACCACCCTGGCCAACATGGCGAAACACCGTCTCTACTAAAAACACAAAAATTAGCTGGGCATGGTGGCACATGTCTATAATTTCAGCTACTTAGGAGGCTAAGACCGTGGAATCACTTGAACCTAGGAGGCAGAGATTGCAGTGAGCCAAGATCATGCCACTGCACGCCAGCCTGGGTGACAGAGCAAGACTCTGCCGCAAACAAACAAAAAAATCAGCTTCCTGGCTGGGCACAGTGGCTCCTGCCTGTAACTGCAGCACTTTGGAAGACTGAGGCAGGCAGATCACCTGAGGTCAGGAGTTTGAGACCAGCCTGGTCAACATGGCGAAACCCTGTCTCTACTAAAAATACAAAAAACTAGCCGGGTGTGGTGGCAGGTACAGGTAATCCCACTACTTGGGAGGCTGAGGTGGGAGAGTCACTTGAACCCGGGAGGTAGAGGCTGCAGTGAGCTAAGATTTCACCATCGTACTCCAGCCTGGGTGACAAGAGTGAAACTCCATCTCAAAAAACAAAATCAGTAAAGAATAGACATGACACGTCATAAGGTACATTCAGAGAAGCAGGTGAGACAGGGAGGTTGAGGGGTGAGGATAAGAAGCTACTTGCAGCCGGGCGCGGTGGCTCACGCCTGTAATCCCAGCACTTTGGGAGGCCGAGGCGGGTGGATCACGAGGTCAAGAGATCGAGACCATCCTGGTCAACATGGTGAAACCCCGTCTCTACTAAAAATACAAAAAATCAGCTGGGCATGGTGGCTCGTGCCTGTAGTCCCAGCTACTCAGGAGGCTGAGGCAGGAGAATTGCCTGAACCCAGGAGGCGGAGGTTGCGGTGAGCCGAGATCGCGCCATTGCACTCCAGTCTGGGTAACAAGAGTGAAACTCCGTCTCAAAAAAAAAAAAAAAAAAAAAAAAAAAGAAGCTACTTGCTGGAGCCGAGGGTGGAGCTGGAGTCGTGCAGGGTTATCGTGTGTGATGTGCGTTCTCACCATTTGTGTCCTGTAGTACTTAACTCTCATGATATTCTTTAAAGTGGGTGTGATTTTTACTCCTGTTTCCATGTGAGGAGAGTAGAGCTCAGAGAGGTTAAGCACTTTGTCCAAGGCTGTATAGCTAGTAGAGCTGGAGTTTGAACCCAGGTCATTCAGACCGTGGAGCCTGCCCTTACAATCACAGTGCTGGAGCTGCATGCTATGGCTCGCACCTGCAGTCCTAACACTGGGAGGCTCAGGCTGGAGGATCGCTTCAGGCCAGGAGTTGAGACCAGCTTAAACAATATAATGAAACCCTGTCTCTTAAAAAATAGATTAGCCAGGCGTGGTGGCTCCTGCCTGTAATCCCAGCATTTTGGGAGGCTTAGGCAGGATGGTTGCTTGCGTTCAGGAGTTTGAGACCAGCCTGAGCCACATAGGGCAACCCCATCCCTCTCTTTTAAAAAAAAAAAAGTAGGCCGGGCGCGGTGGCTCAAGCCTGTAATCCCAGCACTTTGGGAGGCCGAGGCGGGTGGATCACGAGGTCAAGAGATCGAGACCATCCTGGTCAACATGGTGAAACCCCATCTCTACTAAAATTACAAAACATTAGCTGGGCATGGTGGCACGTGCCTGTAATCCTAGCTACTCAGGAGGCTGAGGCAGGAGAATTGCCTGAACCCAGG